GTGTGTGTATATATAAATGTATATATAAAAATGCCGCGTAAATAAAAACATTAATAATTTTTATTACCTCAAAGAAACTGTTTTTGATCCCACAGAACTATCACTTGAGTGTTTTTTATTTCCTTTGCACTTCTTGTTATATTAGATTGATGTTGCCATTTTAGTTTTGGCAGGATGATTCCCAAAAATCCTTATTCAGCTCGGTCACCTTTCTTAGAATTACTTCAGCTTATTAGCACCTCCAAACACCCTGAATCAGCAAGCTTTGCAGTAAGTTCATATGCTGCCTGTTATTGAGACAAATGATTTTCACCCTGGCGAGCATCTCAGGGGTGTGCTTCCACTTGTCCCTCTCTGAACCTAGTCTCCATTTAATCAGCTCTCTCAGGACTCGGTTCTGTATAATTAGAAGTTGAAACTTTAATCACCATGGATTCGGGGGAAGGAAGAGCTGAGCATTTCAAACATATAAGAACGTAAATTGATGAAAGCGCTGAATGATACTTTAAAAAGATTCTCTTATTTTTTCACAGCTTTTATTTGCCCTTAGCTTGAGCAGATGTTGTAAGTGCTGTTATATCCGTGCAAAACAAAACAAAATGATCTCAGAATCATCTCTGGCAGGTCTTGACTCCATAATGTTGAGTTAATTGTGCATCAGCAGTTTGTAGTTGGATAAAAAGGTTACAATTCCCAGGAGGTCCATAGAGAACACCAGTGTCTCATTACCCCATCTTCTCTTGTCTCTTCCTGTCACATCACCTCTCTTCTCACCTTCCCTTGCATTTTTTTTAGACTTTCTCCTTCTTGACTCTGTGCTGACATTAAAATCTTAAGCCAATATTTCTCTGGGCTGCAACCGTTGGTGGCAAATTGCAGAGGATTTTCCAAAATATCACTTTTGCAATAGGTTGTAATTCCCTCAGGATCATTTTTGTGTCACAGAACTTTTGAACATGTTCAATAAATTATTTTATTTTGGGATCAGTTTTAAGATACTTTACTTACTTTTAAAGATTAAAATAGCACAACAGTTTAAGTGTTATATAAGTGTACATTATGTATTAGGGCTGTGTATTGGCAAGAATTTGGCGATATGATACATATGACAGAGGGGTCACGATACGATAAATCCCGATATATTGCAGTACTATAAGCAAGGCGATATATTGCGAAATATTGCGATTTTTTTGTCCAAAAATTCTATTAAATAAAAACCTCTTACAGGGGAAAAATGAAAAACCAAAGTTCATTGTCTCAGAAAATTCTAATATTACAGAAACATACTTTTGATTCATTTAGCTGTCTTCTGCTTTGTATGTATTTTATTTTATTTGTTTCATATTTCTTATTTCATCTATTTTTTCAATTATTAGACTAAATTTGACAAATAGTTTGAAAATATATATTTTTGCAGCTTTTAGTTTTTATTATTAATTTACAATATGGTCACCCAACACTTAACAATAGCC